ATATATATATATATATATATATATATACATATATATTGTAATATATAATTATAACATATATAAAACAATAAATAATAAAATTAAAAATACCTAAATAGACAAAAAAAATGATCTATTCAATTGTAATGATGAGAGAAAGCAGAGGAGAAAATGGAACAATTAGTGGTATTAAAAAGAGAAATCCCTTCACATATTAAATCATTATGGACTTACATACTTATCATATAAAGCTCACACACAAGGTCTGCGTCTGCCACATTAACATATTACTAATGGTGTGTTCTTTAACAATAATATTAAATTATTAATCATAACAAATATTAATATAAAGATTACATAATTCGAACTAATAAAACAACATGATTTTGTATTTTTTTGACATCTAATTAATCTGAATTTTAAAGAAAAAAATAACATTGACTATAATATCTGCTATAAAATAATTTAACAACTTTTTACTTACACAACATAGGTCAAGTTATCATATTTATAATAAAATAATTAATATAGCCACAATAAAATGTCAAATCATACACTCACTAAACACTCATATCTTAGTAACCCAATCAAATTAGATGTGGACCATGGCAAAACAAAAAAAATTGTCATCAATTATGTAATTTCAAAACAAAAGAGCCCTTACATCTGTTCAAGATGTCTAATCAAAAGGTCAAACCAATATATATATCACAACATAAAAACAACAAAATTGCACAAAAAAATATAATATTATATGACAATAATATTTGTAATATTAGTAGCAACTAGATTTATAAATAATTGTCTTAAGATATTGTCTCAAAACACAACGTTGCTACAATCACAACAAGAGCACTCTCACTAATTAGGAGCATCAAAAGATTTCATGATGATTCATACAAATTACATTACTTGAAAAAACAAATTAATTAACAGTCAAACCTAATTAGAACCTTAGAGAGAATCTTTTACCATAAGCTTTGTAAGTATATACGTTCATTATAAGTTTTGTAAGTATATGTTCATTGCAAATTTGAAACTCTTTAACAAACATTTTACTTGGTGGTAAAATGCTTTTAACATTTAAGTTTCTTATTGATTTGAGAGAAACAAACTACAACATAGTTAACACAATATATAGTAAAAGACACAAAGATATTCTTTACAATGTGAAACTTAGAAATGAAGTTTTTCAACCATAGCATAAAGAATTTATAAGAGAAGAAACTTATTACGATGAATATTTTGAAACATGACCATTCAAATTTAATTATGGGAAACTTTCCATGTAGAAACTTATGAATTATGATATTCAGTTCGGTCAATGTTAACTTGTACGCTATTTATAGCCTAATTCTTTAATTTGAATACTCCTCATTACTCAAACTCTGGCAAGAAAATTTACTAATTACAAACCATGAGATTAAACTACTAAGAATTTTTGTTTTTGTTTTTGTACGATTACATAGATACAAAGAGAAAGGAATCAAGATTGACTCATGCCGCCAGTCTTAACACGATCCTCAGGAGACTTAAGCTAATCTTGGAATGTTGAGAAATCAGGTTCCGTTGGCTTGAACATCTTGGGCATCTTCAAATTGCCAGCATCAGGAATCTTAATAGTAACCTTTCTAACCATTCCTTTCCTAGTGTTTGCAGCAAATCTCGAAGCCAAAACCGTAGCCCCAAGATTCTGAAAATGAGTAGTCCCAATTGAACTCCCAGCAGCACGAGCTTCTTCTTCATCAACTTCCTCTTCTTCTATCTCCACCACGTTCGAGTAGTACAAGTTCTCTTTGTCCAACAACTCCATTGCCAACTTTCTCTTGCGGTGGCGTCTCCATGCAGCTTGTATGAAGTTAGCACCCCAAGCTCTCCACTGATGCGAGTAGTACCTGGAAGTAGGGTGTACAAAAATTAAACTATATTGAACTAATTCAAAATCAAATCGAACTGATTTATGAAAACCATACTATTTTTGGGGAAAAAAATTAGTCAAACCACACCTTAAAAAGTGATCCAATTAATCCAACTACTTCTATAAAGTAATTTGGTTTAGCTTGTTAAAAAGTTCTTCCCATAAGTTTAAAGGGAATATGCAAATTGCACCAATCCAAACCATTTTGAAAAAAATACCAAACAAAACCATATTATAAAATATTTGGTTAAATGAACTATTTTTTTAAAGGAAAAAGTTTAATACAATATTAAAAATTTTATTATTATTTTTTAATCAGAATTAGAGTTTTATCTCTATAACATGTATTTTCATTTTATATAAATCTCATTAATATAAATTTATGCATATTATTAAAGAGAAATATCAACTCAAGTCTAAGAACAACGCTCACCCCACCTATACTACTGTAGATAAGTTTTGTCATTTATAAAATGATTAGTTTGGTTCAAAATTTTCCATGCACAATCCTACCTGAAAGCATGTTGCAGTTTCTTGCTATGGAGGCGCTTGAACTGGCTAGCCACGAATTTGAGGTCCTCGGCTCTGAGAGCAAATGCCTCGACTTCGGTGATGGTCTTCACCGTTCGAGTGGAGGATGGAAGGTTGAGACTTGAAGTGGCCATCAAGGCCCAAGTTAGCAATTCTTCGCCGCAGAAGTCACCGGGTCTGAGAGTGATGGAGTTGAAGAACCCTGTTCTGCCACCATCGGTTGTGGAACTCTCTACTTGGCCCCTAATGATGAAAAGCATTTCTCTCACGGGATCACCCTCACGAACCACGTACGTGTCTTTTGTGTTCAAGGATGAAACCAGGCGTTCACATATCGCGTCTAGAAGTTGGTCGTCCATTTGACCAAAAAATGGGACCTGATGAACACAAGGAAAATTAGGGTTTGTGTCTATTTTGTTTAGCTGGATTGGACCTTGGTATAGGGCTTTACAGGCAAAAATATTTTTTTCTACCTTTTATGCCATGATCAAATATGAGTACTCTAAAAATTTGACCGCAAAGTTTTAAGCACTGAATGTTATATGTTATCTATGAGGATGATATAAATGGAAACTACTATTACAAACACTTCATCAACAAATGTTATTATACTTGAATTAATGATAAAAACACAAAATTTTGATGTAGTTGTTTACTTATGTTTGATATTAACACTATAAGAAAATTATCTTGTAGTGATAGATAAAAATTATCACTAAAAGTTAAAAATTTATAGATAAATGTCTATTTTACATTAAATTACAAACAATCTATTCATTTATGAAGTGAATTGTATAACAACTTTTTAGATTTAGCATGCAACAAAGGAGCATAAGTATAATTATTTAAATTTTTCTTTCACTAAATATTTATAGATAATAGTAGTTTTTAGTTTTACTTATAGAATAAAATATCGGAAAGTGCAAGTCATTTTTCTTGTAATGTAATTTTTCTTTTATCAAAATTTGAAAATTTTTCAAATAATTCATATTATAAATTATTAGGGTCCTTCTTTTAATGTAGATGGGATAGTATACATAAAATTCATATCCAAACTTGTTATTATACAAATAAAAAAATTATATATATTATAAAAAATTGTTTTATAGTGACAAACATACACTTCTTATAATGACACAATACTTGTTATTAAAAATTATTTTTACTTATACTATAAAACTAATACATGTTGATATATTGTTAAAAATATATATATAAACTATAATAACATATAAAATATGTTGTTAAATCTCATTGAAATCAATACTGAAATTATATGTAAATATATAATAGATTTATATATATATATATATAT